TATACAAAACTACAATTATATACTGTATTTTATAACGAATAAGTTCTTAAATTAAAGATTAATAAATGTTAAATTCGTTAACGTTCAGTATTGATCATAGACTGGCTTCTTAAGGATATATTACGCATATTTTTTAATAAAATAAAAAATTATGGAAAAAATAGATTTTTCTACATTGCATTTATGAGTAAAAGATAGGGGAAACCGATTGTCATATGGAGTTTGATTGTCAAAAAGCTAATAACTCAATTAGTATACATAGTAGAGCATTCGTCTTCTTTTTGCTGCAGATGACTGATATAATATTAAATTGTGTAAAATAGTTTGCGCCAAAAACATCATGCATATCATTTACAACAACTTTTAAGAAAATGAAGCTATTAAATACATTTTTCTTATCTTCTTTTTTGTTTTTAATTAGTTTTTAGCATTATCATTGTAATAAATTTTATGAATAGAATTTCTTACTAAAAACAACTATAAATGAGATAAATTAACTAAAATGAGCGGCTATTAAGTGACAGCCAATTTAAATCTTTTTAGATCGACATTTTAAAGAATATATGTTTATGAATATAATATTTTATTTAGGTATACGTATTTTTTTCATTTTTTGCATATATAAGCTATATAGTACGAAAACAAATTATATGTTTTATGATTAAAATATTATTTTACTTGTATCAATACTACAATTCCTATTATTTAGAAATAACACTAAAATAAAAACTGCATTTTCTATATATTTTATCTAAATAAAAAATATGTTGTTAATCTTGGAACCCCGAATATAAGGAATTAATTGTCACATTTTCGCAACTTTATTTAAAACTAAATAACTTATTTCTACTAGAGATTTCATCTAGAGATGTATCAAATTCAAGAGTAATATTTTTTTAATACTTAGGAGGATGTAGATATATAATATTATAACGTATACAATGTTTCAAATTCTTACATTTACATTTTTCTACCGATCCCCGGCTCCCCTAATAAATACAAATAATTTAGCGGCGATTTAGAACCCGAATAAAAAATTATTTCAATATGAACATTTAATAAGACATGTTTTGAAAAAATAACAAAGATAAAATGAGAAAATTTTCATTTAAACTATATTTTTTATACGGAAGATATAAGTTTCTAATTTTAGTCATTTTGCACAAATAATATCTGATACATCTTTAGTAGATATAATTGTATATATATATATATATATATATATATATATATATATATATATATATATAAGTATATGAATATAATATTCGAATTTTTTTTTTCAAGACCTAACTTTAAAAAACCTTGACGAGCTTATATTTGAACAGATTTATTAATCTAGTTATATAATGCATTTTTAGCAATACCAATAATCACCTTCTGCAAGACTTACCTAGTTTGAAACTCATTTCTCAGTGATTGTAATACTTTCTTCAAGTACACTCGATTTCGATCTGCGTCCGATCAACGCGGCGCGTCTTTTCGAACGTCGCCATCGAATTACAAAGAGATCCTCAGACAATCTTCCGGGAGGTCTCTTTACGCTCAAATCCCCGAAGAGGCAGTCGGCTAGCGGCCGTCTTACTCCTCTACCACCTATCCCCTTACGTCGTAGAGGGAGAAAAGAGAACTCCGCCGAGAACAGCCTGGCAAGCGTTTCCGGACAATTTCGATTCCCGATGGCTCCCATAGCGAGCTATGATTTCCACGTGGATGAGCAGGCTGCGATTGCAGCAAAGCGAGCTTTCTCTCCCCTCCCCCCCCCTCTCTCTCTCTCTCTCTCTCTTACCGCGACAGGGAGAGGCGCGTCTATAGCTTGAAGCGCGATTATCCAAGCTTCGCTGACCAAAGGATTTTCCCTCCGCGGGACTCTTCCTCCCTCTCCTCCTACAGCGCGAAATCTACGAGAGGCGGTAAGGAGGTACGAACGTATGTGTTCGTGCACGTGGCCTACACGTGTGAACTTGTACGTACATCTTCCCTCATGATGGTGGGCATACGCCGATTCACACGGGAGGCTCATAAGTTGCGATACCCATATTGCTTGGCGAGAGTGTGTTCATAGTGATGTGGTGATATTCTGTATACGTATGTGTGTGTGTATATACTGACCTGTTCTTACTTGTTCGACGACAAGTCGGTCTTTCCGTTAGCTAGCGACCGTCCCCCAAAAGGAGGTCTCGCTTAGCCATGTATGAACACACGTCAAAGGGACGCTCTACTGTCGATCGTTTATTGGATCGTGTGCTCGCGTCCGCTTTGACGGTGGATTACCCACGTTTGGCCTGTCGTCGTTTAAACGTCTCCGCCGGACGTCGCTTATGGAAATCGGAATGTCTTCCATGAACCAAAGTAAAGAAGCAAAGGGAAGATTCCTGAAATATGTTGAGAAAAACTCGCCGTTTCGTGACTCGAGGAACGGTTGAATAATCGCACGATTCCCGTCGTCTATCTGTCGTTTGACTCCTAACTAGACACCCCTCCTAACTAGACTTTACTTTGCGAAAGGAAACAAACTATTCTACTGAAACTGTCCGAAAAATCTAACGCACCTTATTAAGTAAAATGATCCAAATATGAAATCCAAAAATGCGCTTCTAAAATTATATACTATGTGTGATGAGATTTTTATCAATTTTTCAGAAAAACGAA